ACAGGCACAGAGGAGAGGCTCGAAGAAAACCAACCTGCCAGCACCTTGGTCTTGGACTCTGACCTCCAGAACTGGGAGAACATAAACTTCTGTTGTCTCAGCCCCCAGGGGCCCCTGGTGTTTTGTAAGGACAGCCCTGACACAATTTCACAATTACCTGTGTTGTCTGTGAATCTCCAGGTTCACTCATTGGCTCTCCCATGCGTTCTCAGCCCTCTCTTTGTGGCCAATTTCCTATAAAATTCCCTCTTTGAAACCCATGGAGTGGTTTTGTTTTCCTGACTGAAGCCCCTAATAAATATCCTAAGTGTATGTAAAAAATCTTTCCGTAGACATTGACACAAGGATGGATGATTTTTTGTTTTTGCTTTTGTGAATGCATTAAGAAATATTATAGCTTGACCGGTATGGCTGATTAATGTTTCTCATATTGATGTTTTTCTCTCTCTTTCCCTCTTCCTTCCCCTCTCTCTAAAAAAATAAAAAAGAACAACATATCCTTGGCTGAGGGGTTAAAAAAACACAGAGAGAGACTCCAGTGAGCTCTTGACTTATGAACCAGGAGGTCGTGGTTTGATTCTCAGTCAGGATACATGCCCAAGTTGCAGCTTGATCCCCAGTAGGGGGCTTACAGGAGGCAGCCAATCAATGATTCTTTCTCATCAATGATTTTTTTTCTCTCTCTCCCTCTCCCTTCCTCTCTCTGTAATCAATAAAAATGTATTTTAAAAAAAATAAATGCTCTAGTTTTGTACATAATGCCAAGGAGCTATTTAAGAACAACAAAATGCTCACCATTGCAAACCAAACAAATGATTATTTTTTGCACCTAATCCCAGTGGACTGTGTCCAACATCATTTCCTCAGCTTGCTTTGAGAACTCTGCCAGTGGTTTCCGCTGAGTGTACAGTAGCTAAGTGGCCCTCCCCGGCTGTGGAAGCAGTGTTAGCTTAGTGCCATCTCTATGTGGCGGTGTCTAATGAAAGCTGGCTGAAGAGAGTATGATGCAGCCAGCAGACAAAGACCTTATCCTGGGTAAATTTGAAGCCTTGTTAAATGAAGTGTTTTTGGTCACAGTCTTGCCTACACACTGGAATAACTCCTAGCGGTTCCTTTAGATGACCCTCTGGTGGTGTCTTCTCTAGGGAACTTTTCTTGATATCGCCCCCTCACCCCAAAGAATGTGTTATGAACTGAGTTCTCTGGGATGCAATTCTAGGATGAAGGGGTCTGACTGGGGAGTGCTCTTGGGAATAACGCCTGTACAGGAGCTGGGGAAACAGTGAGGAAGAATTTGAACTGCAGTGTGGTTGTAAAAGCATTTTTAGCTAACCCCGGGGCGCTGTGAGCCTGAGATGGCGCCTTAGAGAGATCCCATAAGGCCGTGGATGTGGGCTGCCCGGGAGGATGCGTGGTCTCCTGAGTAAGGGAGCTTCCTCAGTGAAGGTCAGAGGACACAGCTGTGAGCGGCCAGGGTAGCACATCAGGGTGCCCACTATGATTGGTCTCAGGGACCGAGGTGCATAGCCTATTGTGATAGTATTGTGATAGTGCCTTTCTGCGTCTGTCTCAGACCGTGGGCTCAGGGACAGGAGGACCTCATTACATCATTCATTGTGTCTCCAGCATCCAGTAAAAACATGGCACGCCGCCGGCGGCACCTGAAACATGTTGCATTTAGTGAAGGAAAGATATTTACGTTTATCTCTAGGAATTGCAACAGGTAGGGTATTTAACATCCTGCTGCCCTCCAAAAACGGAGTTTAAAAACCTTACTTTCAACCCCAGTCTGGAGAGGCTGTGTGGTTAGGCTCTAGAGTGTGAACCCTGGAGGACACAGTTTGGGCACAGCAGGAGGCCTGTCGCTGTGCCAGGTGGGTTGATCATAAACAGAGAAGCATGCTGAGATGGACTGCAGGCAGGGACTCTGGGCTCTGGCCGCACATGCTCTGCGCCTTGTGCCCCTTCAGCTGCCACGGTCCCAGCCGGGAACTGGAGGCAGCCCTCCATATGCTGTTGACCTGCCCCTGCCTCCAGTGACCCTAGAGTCCCAAGCCATTGATCCACCCCGAGTCAGGCAAGAAAAGGAGTTGAAAGGTGGCAACATCAACAGGAAATAAAACATTTTTATTGAATATCCGGGTACTATTGTGAAGTTATTTTTAACAACAACCAGAAAACTACTGTGGAATTCACTACACGAAGTGAAATGAAATTTAAATCACCTCATCGAAAATGAAGGTAAAATACAGCTAAAGTAGTTGGCTCGCGGGCCACGAGCCATATGGCAGAAGGAAACACCCCAACATGTCTACAGGATACAGAGGAAACCCACACATAGAAACACTCAAGCAGGCAGTAAATATACACAAAGGCAACTAGGATCTTTCTAGAGCACATCCGATTCTAACGCGTTGCACAGCTTTGTCAGAAAGGTCCCTGTGGCTTATCTGAGGGTGAATCTTGGTCTCAGAGCAGGTTCGGTCACTGACTTGTGAGAGGTGGCATAGTACCAACTGATTCGGTGGCGACAAGACCCCACGCCTGGCAGTGTTGCAAGAGAGAATGCGTTAGTAGTACTTGAATGCAAGAAATCATGTGTCTTGGGCAGCTCGGACCTGCTTGTTTTGAAGTATAGTTTCAGTGTAAACAACTTAAAGCGGAATACAATCAAATGAGATGCCAGTTTCTGGAATTTCAGGGAATTTTTACAAGCCAGTCAGCTCCTCTCTTTGATCGGGTTTGGTCCTTTACAATGGAAAGACTCTCATTTGACTCTTCTGTTCAAACTGGTATCTAGTCTTACATCAAACCTTCCACAGTTTCTAATATCTATGTTTTTCTTTCTTTTTCCTCTAAGTGTGGACCATCTACAGAAGAGGGAGATGTTATTCTTTTGTCCTTTTTGTCTGTCCCAGATCTAGAGTTTGCTATCACTGGGCTGAAAGGTCAAAGGGCATGCCTCTTCTATGACAAGGAAAGAATAATGATAATAATTCAGGAAACTGCTAACCCCATGCTCCAAGCCTCCCAGCAGCCCTTTCTGAATTCTCTCTGAGTTGTTAAAAAAAGTAAGTGTGGCATGAGACCCTCAAGTCTGAACACGAGGATTCTGCCTAGTTTTCCTCCTCTGTGTTCTGATATCGGTGCAGATCAACTCCCACCTCAGCACATCTCGACTCTCCATGGCCTGGAGCTAAAATGGGCCACAGAAGTGAGTAGGAGAAAAAAATCAATGCAGCGTGACAACAGGCTGCCCTGCAGAGTGGTTGTCTGCCATCGTGGGGGAAAATATGGAATATCGCACAGTGCTTGACCAAATGCTGTGTCTCACCCCCTTCTGTGAATCTTCCTTGGCCTATGCATAGCTTTTCAGTTCTGAGTTGGTCCTTTGTAACGAGAACTGTTTGTGCTACACACACTTCGGGCAGTGCAGTAGAGGGAATGGCAGTATTGTGTACAATATCACTACGGGATAAATTGAGTGCTATCCACTGAGGAAACTACGTGTCTAAGCACAGACGGCAGTCACAGTGTTACACAGAGCAGTCCTTGAAGACTCTTATGGAATGACTAGTAGCTTCATAATAGTGCCATTTACTACATAATAACATTGAAAACATTTAAAAACTCCTCCTAAGTCAAGCATCTAGAATACATAAGAGGTTGCTTCAGTTTTCTAGAACTTGTTCTTGGTTTTGTTTCACCTTTTTTTTTAAAGGACAAATTAAAACTTCTTTAAGTAAAAAGAGCATATAAAAAACATCACTAGCTGTCTGTTTTGGCTTAATCGAAGTGCATTCAGAACTATGGCTAATTGTTTGCTTTTCATCTTTTGATGGGATTACAATACTGTCTGTTTACCACAAAGTAACTTTGTGTAATAAGCACAGATTGCTGTGTTAAAAATATTCTGCATTCCTTCTAGTCTGGTTTTGTGTAATAAAATATCTTGTTACAAAGTCTAGTGTGCAAATGTTTTGGAATTATTGGAGGTGTGAAATCTGGAACGGAATTCACAGGATGCACATTTTGTATAAAGGTGATAATGAAGAGCTACTTGTTTCTTTTTGAAATAGTCAGGCAATATTTCAGAAATGCTGACTTCTCCCCTCAGCATCTTCCCACCCACCCCCATCCCTAAACAAATGCACACACATGCACACACACACACACACACACACACACACACACACACACGCACCACCATCAAGTTGCGACTCTATAAGCAGTAACATGAAATCATTGACTCCTGTTCAGTTGCTCCTTCAAATGTAAGAGTGAAGCCCTGGTTTTAGCTTTGTAGGTATGTACAGACAGATGCTGTTCTGTTTTGTGGCTATACTTCCTGGAGGTCAGCCTGGATGCTGCTCAGATCATGCTAATTTGCCTGTGAAGAAATTCTACAAAATTGGACGCACTCACCAAATATGTGGTGTGAGTGTACCTTGGTACTCAAATGATTCAATAGAAAGCTCAGGTTTAAGTTGTCCTTTAAGATGTCAGTTTCACTGTACTAGTGCCTTACAAGTTGATATTTTTGCTGGGAATGCAGACTGTACTATATTTACCATATAATATATTATCAGCTCTCCTATATCTCAGTCAATTTACATAGTTTAAAATAGAACATCTTATTAAAAACATCTAGATATACACAGATTAGGAAACGCTTACAACATACAAATACACAAACTAGAAATAAATCTGTAGCATACTGGTATGTACAACTGTGTGTGATACAATAAATAATTTCAGTCATGCTCTATCTACACATCATATTGCTTAACAGAAGAGTAGATTTGGAGGGCAGTTGTATGATGAAGGACTCGGGGGCTCTCTATCTTTAAATTTGTGCAAATTAAAACAGGATTTGAAGTACCACTGAATTGTGTCAGGAACGCATGGCTGGAAAAATGCAAGGACCCATATTACTGAGGTATTTACAGATAACTGGCTAAAGAGCACTATGTGGGCAAATGCAGAAAGGCTTCTTTCCTTTACTTCTTGATGGCCAGCATGGCGTCAACTTCCTCCTCTACCTGTAGGGTGTGCCATTGGGCAATGGGTCGCCTGGGGTTGGCCAGCATATCTGACCAATGTCGCAATTCAGCCCCGGTGCTGTTGTAGCCCACAAAGACTTTGCCGATGGCATCGTTCTTGCCAATCTTGTCATAGTCCAACACAGTGACCACCACTTGCACTTTCTGAAAGAGGACACACAATAAACATTAATCATCCAGCCCTGGAGATACCTTCCTATGACAAAGCTTCCTTGAGAGCTAAGGAATTGGAAATAAGAAGAACCAGTTTCTAAACATGTGAAAATGACTGGAATATGATGCCATCCCTATTTCGCCATCATTACATCATCACCACCACCATTATTATCATTGTTGTCATCACCTTCAAAACACTCAGTAAATGTTCATTTTTAGTATGTATGTGGTACTCTTCTAACTTTTACACACACTACATCAGTTACTTTTCACAATAGAGCCTATTAGTATTGCCATTCTGTAGAGGAGAGATGAAGCTCAGAGAAGGTAAGAAATCAGCCTGAGGTCATAGAAGGAATGAGTCTTTTGGTTCCCAGAGTCCATGCTGTAAACCACATGCTCTGCTGCTTGTGTCAACTTGTATTTATCTCTAAATGCATTTGTTTCAGTTGTCTAACCCAGGAAATTTCTTACATTGACACTCAGACCATTCTTTTTCTGGTTATAATTCCCAAAGCAGCCATGTACAGCAATCCCACTGTGGGGGGAGGAGGAGAGAGCCAATAGTTTCCATAAAACTAATCTAGAATTTCAGCTGCTCACAAAATTGTTGTGAATACAAGATGTGACTGTCAAGTAAAAGTCTTTAAAAAGTACTAACCAAGTAAAGATAATATTTTTCATTCATACATGCCCTCAATAAACATTTATTGGGTAAAACTACTATGAATCTGGTACTGGCATCAAATGGAAATAACCTTTTTTGGGCTGCATAGGATTTTATTTTGGTGATTCCATTAGATTTTGAGGATTTCTGTAATAACTTACTTTTTTGAACTGACTGAACTGGTGAAAGCAAATCCATACTATTATCACATGAAAGAAAGACTTTTTAAAAGCACATTTTAATTCTGCTTCCTAAGCAATAAATTTATTTAGTGAAAATATGCAATGGCCCCAATCTAGAAATGGAGTACAAAGATAAAGGAAGACTTTAGAGTAGTGTAGAATGCATAACATTTCATGGTGCATTAAAAAGAGCAGAAAATGCAGTGGTAGAAGCCAGGGCCAGGTGGGGCCCAGGGGAGTTCTGGCCCTGTGGTAGACTCTGTACTCTGAGGTCTGCATTCTTGCACCAGCGGTTGGGAGAAGGTGCCCGGGTGCAGGTTCAGATCAGAGGAAATGATCACTTCTCAGAGTGAAATGTAGAATGTAAAATGAAACACACTGGTGATAAAGGACACGAACTTCCGTCTTCCTAGGATTGTTTTATGGTCAAGGGAATTATCTACCCACTGCTGGTGTTTGGAACTGAGCTCGATTTTCAGAAACTTTCCATGCAAATACATCAGGATGCAGTCAGGTTGCAGGGAAGAGGGCGGGGCATTGGGGACATTGTGCACAAAGGTAACATGAATGGAATGGATTTTGATTATTCAGCTAGGAAAGTATTGATTAGTAACACTCAACAATTTCCTTCTGAAGGCTTGGATTAATTTTTCCAGCTGCATATATAGTTTATACATTTTGCGGGCTTGAGTAAAGAAATGCAACATTTTCATTTACAAATCAGCATTTTTTTCCCCCTCGCAGAATGTATTTCTTAGGGATAGAGACAGAAAGACAGATAACCCTATAATTGCAGGATAAAGGAAACCTGAACCCCTATTATAGCATGTGAAATGCTCAGTTACTTTCTCTAGAGAAAGAAAAGATGAGGAAAGCAGCCTCCTGGGAAGGAAATCAAGAAAAAAAAAATATATATATTAAAAAAAAAAAAGACTGAAGAAAGGACCTCTTTTCCACTATTTCGAATACTTAATAGCTAATTTCATAACATCACATGTACCATTTTAAGAAAGTGATGATTTAGTGGGAAATTAGTGCTTTGCATTTGTATACTGTAAATATAAATGACGATTTGTTTGAAATGTGTAACTTTGATATGCAAAAGATAATAACTCACAATGTTAATATTAAATATTCTTTCAAAATAAAAGAAATAAAAACTCAAAAAAAAAAAAAGAAAAAGAAAAGAATACACTGACTGAAGGAGCAGAGGAGGAGGGACGCAGTGGCAGGCGAGCCACCATTCCTGTGCCTACTGTACTCCAGAGGGGGCTCAGGCTCTCTCCTTGACAAAATGTTATCTCCTCCGCAGTGCTGCCCCAGAAACCCAGCATACGTTTTGTTTTCCATGCCCTTCATTTTCAACATACCTGCATTTGCTGCAATTTATAGTTGAAAAGGGACATTTATTTTTTAAAAACCGGGTATAGAATTGCCACTCAAAGAGGGAGGTTTACAATAGGATTTTTCATCTCAGTGCCCTGCCTGATATGGTGCTGTGGAATTAAAAAAAAAACAAAAACAAAATGCCAGGAGGTGTTAGTTTCCGTAGGAAAAAGGTCTTAGAACTTAGGAGGGTTCACTGAACAAATATTGCAAAACAAATGGTTGGAGATAATTGGATGTCTTAGGGCTTTGCCAGCGAGTTTGAAGCAGAGAGCGCACTGGTGCAGACTAGTGAACAAGTAATTGGGAGTAGGAGGCAGTGTCCTCTGCAATGTCATTTCCTTATGTAACAGCTATTGAAAGTAAATAAGTATGTCCAATATGCTGTCATGTGGAAATGTATATAAGAAATGTTATATAAAAACTGAGAATCAATGTGAGGATGGTGGGATCACTGATTTTTCAAAAATTGCCCTACAGCCTGGCTGGGATGGCTCAGTGGTTGAGTGTTGACCCATGAACCAGTAGGCTACTGATTGGATTTCAGGTCAGGGCATGCCCCAGTTTCGGCTTGATCCCCAGGAAGGGGCTTACAAGAGGCAGATCTATAATTCTTTCTCATCATTGAGGTTTCTGACTCTTTCCCTCTCCTTTTCTCTTTCTGAAATCAGTAAAATCATATTTTAAAAAAACACACCAAAAAAACAACAACAACCCCTTCCTATATAAAACACTAGCTATTAGCTACATGTAGCTGTTTAAATAAGTAAAAAACGAATTAAGTTCCTTGTTTACCCAGTGACTGGGGTGCTCATTGCCCACCTGTGGCTAGTGACCACCATACTGAACAGCACAAATGATAAAATATCTCCTTCCTCATAGAGGGTTCTATTGGACAGCACTGATTTTATGTTGCTTTAATTTATTGTTAGATCAATTTTCTAATAAAACATTGATTTGAAAAAGAGACAACACTAGCATTGTGAATAGTAATAATGATGGGAACCATTTACTGAGTGTTCCTATATGCTTGGCACTGTCCAAAGCGCTTTCATATACATAATCTTACTTTGATGTGGATCCTGTTATTACTTCTATTTGACATATGAGGAAATTCTAAGCCTAGGTTTCCTTACATGTAAAATTGGGATAATAATGGAACTCTCTCACAAGGTTATTGTAAGGATTAAATGAGATTACATAAATAAAGTGCTTAATTTGGACCTAGGTACTAAATAAACATACATTAAACGTAGCTATTTTCTTAGCTTTTTCTCAGAGTAAAGGTGTGATTCATTCATAAGATTTTGCATTCTAAAAATAGATTAAAAGTAAAAACATGCAACTGAAGAGTATTTATTGACTTGTTATTCTGGGCCTGTAGAGGACTCCAAGTTGTTTTGATGTCTAGCCTTCATTTCTCCTTCAAATATGGACAAACTTTTATGTTATGAAAATACCAAGTACTTGATAAAAAGTAGTGTCAATTTAAGCATTTTAACTCTCTGAAACCCATTAAAATTACCAATAAATAACCCCAAATTATTGGATATGAATTTTAGATTCTAAAAGTCTAACTATAGATATGAAGTGAGAAAACTTAAATAAAAATTAAATCTCATTTAAAAATTGCTAAATAATAATATCATATGCTATCATTTTGGCTACATGTAGCATCCTATTTTGAACATGTTAACCACAAAATATTCTTTTAAAAAAATATATTTTATTGATTTTTTACAGAGAGGAAGGGAGAGAGATAGAGAGCCAGAAACGTCGATGAGAGAGAAACATCGACCAGCTGCCTTCTGCACAACCCCCAGCGGGGATGTGCCCGCAACCAAGGTACATGCCCTTGACCGGAATCGAACCCGGGACCCTTCAGTCCGCAGACCGACGCTCTACCACTGAGCCAAACCGGCTTCGGCTAACCACAAAATATTCTAATATATTTCCTATCATAACAATTATTATGTGCAATTTCAGGATTCATTTTTATAAAAATACCCATTCACTCAGATTCAGAAACAAGGAGCTAAATGTGAACAAATAAAAATACAACTTAGCCTAATTTTTCTATTGTTGTCTTTTAAAAATATGTTTTCATTGATTTTTTTTTTTAGAGAGAGAGAAGCATAGATTTGAGAGAAATATTAATTGGCTGCCTCCAGCATGCACCCCAACTGGGAAACCTGCAACCTGGCTATGTGCATGAGACAACATTTAACCAACTGAGCCACACTGGCCAGGGCTGTTAATTGTCTTTTAATAATAAAACTTAAAGACACTGCATACTTAGCATCAATCAATATACTTCTCTTATTGCTATTTTTTTCTGTAAAGATGTGCTTAGAATAATTATATATTATGGTCTGAGAGTAAAAATTTATTTTTTGTTCTGGATCTTTTAATCTTTACAAATATACATTTTGGGTTAGTATAGTTGCCTATTTTATTTCTGCTGAAGAGAAGGCCAGCTGTGTTTGGCTGATGAGTCAGCACATCCTGAGCTGTGTATTTTAGCCTTCTCCTCTTGATGTAACTTAAGCATCAAATGTGCACGGGAATAAGAATGGCAGTTCTAATGAGGGCATGTGCTCTGGTAATGTACAGTGTCTGTGTGTTTAACTTGTGTGGTCTGAATAAATGAAATTGAATGGGAAGACAAAATTATGTTTGACATTACCTGGATTTGCTCAAAGGGTACTTCAAAGCTGAATGACTCATTGTAGTAGGGATTGAGTGTATTCTTTTTAATTGTTGTCTTCTTCTTCTTCAGCCTCTTGCCATTCTGCATCAGATGAATCTTCACATAAGGATCTGAAAAACAGAAATAAAATGTTTAGGAGACCCAAGACATATTTTAGATTATAATTTAGCTTAGAAAAGGCCAAGTATTTCCAACAGGAAAATAATTGCATAGCATATAGTTAGTGTATTTTAAAATTTAATTTTTTATTGAAGGGTTTTAATTAACCTGTGGACTATGTTTTTTTTTATTTTTTATTTTGCCATTGTATTGTCAATATTTATAATTGGATTTAAGATATGAAAGCAGTGGTGTGATGGTAAACCAGCTTTTTGGATTAAAAAAATAACTTGACATGTAGCATTTGCCAATGTCTATGATATAAATACTGTCAGCATAGCCGATTTCAAGCTATGAACAGTTTAACATCTAAAATTCTGAATATTTAACAATTGGCTCTTATGAGCTGGCACTGTATGGGAATAGCTCTTGATAGAGGACAAAGGAGCCATTTCATTCATTCATTTACTTATTTACTGAACCAATGTTATTTAGGCCTTCGGGATAGAGTAGTGAACAAAACAGACCATCTCTGTTTTCATGATGGAATTTCAGACTTGGGTGGGAAATAGACAATAGGCTTGTAAAGAAAAGAAAAGAAATGCACATGAAATTACACGTTAGAAGAATGCTTAAAGAGTAGGATAGAGACATGATGGGGACTAGCAGGGTTAATATGGTGAGTCTACGGTAAGAATGACCATTCAGGTAAGGCCTCTCTGGGGAGGTAACTGAGATATGAAGGTTGGAGGTGAGAAGAGGCTGAGAAAGAGAAAGAGAGAGGAGAGAGGAAAAAGAAGAGAGAAGAGAGAGAGCCAGTAGCTGTGCCTGAACATCCCGAGGTAGAGAAGAGGTTCAAGAGTGCAGGGGAAAAAGAACAAGCCGACACACACACAGGTAATGAGAAAAGGAGCAGAAGATCCCCCTGGCAGCTTCCCCGCAGCCTCATTAGGTAACGGTAAAGTAAAAAGTTGGTCACTGAAGGGTTAAGAGAATTCCCGTTGACAGTTCTCAGTACTAATGGGTAACTGACATACCTTCAAGTCACCAAGAACCAATGCTCATATTTGATAGGAAAATCTGTTTTCTTAAACATTTTTCTACTTCACATATAATGCATGTTTGTTATAGGAAAAAAAAAAATCAGAAAGCAATGTTAAAAAAAAAAGTGAAACTTAAATCACCCATGATTTTATTCTCCTAACCCCTGCTAAGCCTTCCAGCATTTCTTCCCTCTCTTTCAAAACAGATACAGCTGGGAGGAACTTGACAGATGATCTAGTCTGCCCACATATTTTTGGAAGATAAAACTGTGGATCAAAAAAATGTTCTTATCTCCCTCCTCCTTTCCCCAGTAGAACATAACTCCCGAGGGACAGAAACTTGGTCTGCCATGTTCCCTAATTGGATTTACTAACAGTACCTTGCACTATTAAGTTTTTGTTGAATGAGTACGTAGAACTTCTTTAGGGCCTCATAATCTAGGTCTTCCTTGTCCTCAGTCCAGTCTTCTTCCTATTGCCCCAAGGCCCACATTATTTTGTTTGTTTATTTTTGTTTTTGTCTGTTTTTAATGCTACATCCAGTCAAGGGAGATTTTAATCAGAATGAAAAAAACCTTGAAAAAGCAGATATAGAGATGAGAAACAGCTCTGTCAACTAACTAATTGGTCAGTTTTTTTTTTTTTTTAACTCTGTAAATAGTAACAACAAAAAAAGGAAAACATGACTTGTTTATGATAGTGTATCTTGCTGTTCACAGCCAAGGCTGATTTTTGGTTCAGAAACCTTGTTTGCTTATGAAGTCCCCTGGCTCCACCATCCTAACCCCTAGCACATCTATAACATGGTCAAGTCTCCAGTTGCTCCTTGGCACTGACTAATATCCAAATACTACTAAAATCAACATGTGTGCTTCCTATGTTTGTGTTTTTCTTAAAAGAGACACAATAACTATTTATTTATTAATTTAAGACAGCAAATGACAAGAAAGCTCTTTGTGCATCTGCCACTTGAGTAAGCAAATTAAAACCCCGACAAGGTATTAGTAATTTCAGATTTCAATGTGGGCTCTGATGTTATGTGATTAATACCTTGGGGAGAACAAGGTAATTTAGAAAAGGTGATTAGCACTGTGCTTTTTGAGGAGACAGAAAGACAGGGGAAGGAGCTAGTCATCTGAAGATGTGGCAGAAACTTGTATCATCCGGAAAGAGCAGTACATGTGAGGGCCCTAAGGTAGATGTGTTTAGGAGAGAGGTAGGTTGTGAGATCTAAGAGGTAACGCTGCTAACCTGTGACTTTCATAAGTGAATCTGCCAGTTCTGACAATGATTCAGGGCTATTCTGTAATTTCATATACTTAACAGAGAGGAGAGAGGGCTGGAGGAGGAGCAGGCTTGGACCTGTTCTAAAGAGGCGGTGTTAGTCTTTACCTTTGCAGATTCCTTCTGACACAGGCACCAAAGCAACATGCTTTGCAGGCAGAATTCACATCCAGCCATGCCCAAGGGTGGCAGTCACTCAGAGGTCCTATTCTTTCTCACCCAGCTTTATTGAGATAACACTGACATTACACTGTGTAAGTTTAAGATGCACAATGTGTTGTGAATGATTATCACAATAAGGTTAGTTAGTACATCCATCATGTCACGTAATCACAATCTTGTGTGTGTGGTGAGAAGTTTTAAGTTCTACTCTCTTAGTAGTTTTCAAATATAAAATATACCATTGCCAATTGTAGTCGCCATGTTGTATCATCTGATCCCCAGACCTTAGTCATTTTATAACTGGAAGTTTACATCCCTTGACCAACATCTCTCTCACTCCCCCCAGCTCTTAGCAACCACCGTTCTACTCTCATCCTATGAGTTTAGCATATATATATATATATATATATATATATATATATATATTCCACAAATAAGTGAGATAATGCAATATTTGTCTTTCTCTGTCTGACTTATTTCACTTAACATAAAGCCCTCAATGGCCACCCATGCTGTTGCACATGGCAGGATTTCTTTATTTTTGTGTGTGGATAAATGCATTTGGTTGAATGCATTTTCTTTCTTTTTAAAAAATCTTATTTATTGATTTTTAGTGAGAGAGAAAAGGGAGAGAGGAGGAAGGGAACATTGATTTGTTGTCTTATTTAGGCACTCATTGGTTGATTCTTGTATGTGCCCTGACTGGAGATTGAACCCTTGATATTGCCATTTCATATCTCCCTAAAGGAAACAGGAAATTGGAGCATCAATGGTCCTTTTAAAGGAACAGAGGAGTAAGGAGGCAGGCCCAGAGGCGAGTGAGTGTTTTGCCATGTGGGAATGTGTTGCTGGAACAATCAGGCCCACACTTGATGTGCTCCCACCACAGGCTGTTCCTCATAGAGAATGTGAAGTACTGTGTCCTTTAGCCTGAAATGTCATTTCTTCCTTTTTCCATCTTAAGTCTGGGCTTAAAAATCGCCTCTTCCCGGAAGATTTTACTGATGATTTTCTCAGAAACTTTCTCCTTGAAAGACCAACCTTTTGCTGCCTTGCAGCATTTTCTTTTGTATTTGCACCCGGTCCCTATCCTGATTTCCTGGTTTTGGAGGACTTTTGTAATGACCTAATAACAGATAAGCAATATTCCTATGGGAAATGTTTTGAATCCGGAACCACTGGCTTTGAGATGAGTTTTGGGAGGACTATCCATCCACTTGTAACAGGGGGGCCTCTTGTATGACTATTCCACACCCTAATGCCCCAGCACGTCATCGCCGCCTTCTTCCTTTAGGCAGTTCTGATGTCAGATTGTGCCAACTTCATAGAAATATAATTGCAAAACAGCTGGCTGTCCGCAACGATCCTTTTGTCTGAGATACAAAGGGATCACTAAAGACTTTTCCTATTGACAACGAGAACTAGAAAGCAGCAGTTCAAAGCCAAGTAATGCAAGATGCCTGCAGTTTTCATTTCGACAATTTTGCATAATTATACCGTGTTCTTTCTTAACTACCACCATGACCCGGGCCTTTCCCTTTCAACCAAAGGCCTCCCTTAATACAAAACAGCCTCATTTCAGCTGTTTTGTTCAATCCCGTGGAGCCAGGAGCCAGCTTCTGAGTGACTTCAGGTATTACTCCTTTCATCCTTGTTCCTTTGTATGATGTTCCCTAAATTTCAACTTACAGTCTTAGATGAGGAAAGCAATACTTGTATCAACTCAGGTTCTGAATTCCAAGCGACTGAAAAATCCATTTCAAAATGTTATAAATTGGAAAGGTAACTTATTGACTTATGTAATGGAAAAACCCAGAAGTAGGACTGTGTGGAAAAGATTATTAATTGTCTCCTAAAATTGATTTTTTAGCAATAAAGCTCCTGGAGTTTTATTGCTCATATTACCTGGGCACCAGCTAGAAATATTTATCCCTGACTCTCTTATGGCCAACTGACTAACTTCTGGCTATTGGAAGTGAATGGAAGTGACGTGTGTAAACTTCACAGCGTATACTTAAAATACTGGCTATTTTGCACTCCTCTCCCAAGACATTTGGCAATGTCTGGAAACACTTTTGATTGTCATAACTTGGAGGGGAGTGATATGGGCATTTAGTGGGTAGAAACTAGGGATTCTGCCAAACATCCTGCAATGTACAGGACATTATCAACGAAGAATTATCAGGCTCAAAATGTTAATAGAACTGAAATTGATAAACTCTGTCTTAAAATAAGCTTTATGTCTCCCTCCCTCCCTCCCTCCCTCCCTCCCTCCCTCCCTCCTTCCTTCCTTTTTTCCTTCCTTCCTTCCTTCCAACTGAAATATGAATGTGATGGGATCACGGACCTAGCCTTTACCTTGCAACATGATGACAATACTTTAAGATGGTATTATTCAACCGGTGTCTCGCAAGCATTTTTAAAACATGTAATACCTGACTATTTAGTTGGGGGGCACTGACTGCTTTCCCCTTAGCCTGTCAAATAAAAAAATGACAATATCCTACACAACAATAGCATCC